GGGGGGGGGGATGTAAGGCCCCATGAAAACTTGTACTCAAAATCTAGTGACTTGTAGTGCCAAGTTTCGAATAAGTGTTAGAAATGTGTAAAATCGTACTGATCTGGCATTTAAAAATCAAGAATTAAATTATTCCAGAAAAATATTATTATGCGATTGCAAATCGAGTATGCGGACCGCATTTCTGCTACAGACTAAGATAGTGGTTTGGTTAAAATTGACGTCAAAATGCGGTCCATTATGCGATCGCATAACTGATATGCGGACCACATAGTCGTCACATAATTTCCTAAGAATTTTGTGAAGGGCAGTTCTGCGGTGCCTTATGCGACCGCAGAACGTGAATGCGGACCGCATTCCTGCTACAAACCCAACCAGTTCGCCCCAGGTTTTGAGAATATATTTGCGGTCCAATCTGTGATCGCATTTCCACTCTGCGATCGTAAAGTGTGACCGTAGATATGACTCTGGCTCTAATTTTTCTAAATTTTAAACCGGTCCTTCTTCAATAAAACACCCTAACCCCTCATTTTAACAAATTTTCTAAACATACTAGAGAGAGGAAGGAAACATCTTTGAGAGAGAAAGTTTTACCTTCATTGATTTGATTCTTCAAAGTCACCTCGGCTGGAAAATTTCAAGTAATTTTCTTCATCTCTGTTCTTGCAGGTAAAATCCCCAACCCCTTTTATTAATTTTCAGATTTAAACTAAAAGGGGGATTCTCATGCATTGATTCTTGGAAATATAATTTGAAATACACATGCATGTTCTTTAAAACCTAAAATCTAGTAAAAGGAATTGGATAGGAGTAAAGATTTGCAAAGGAGCGGTTGATAACCTAAATAAGTTCGGGTAGTAATTGTGATCTTCAATACTAAGATATATGTGTTAACTTGTGAACTAGATTGACGGTACTAGGCTGGTTGGTGAACTGAAAGTAGAAGTAAAAAGGAAAATTCGATTCCAGATATATATGGCTAACTTTAACCTTTGTAAGGTCACCTTGTTTGGTGTACGAGTGGTTGGTATGTGTCACTTATGTGGACTATTTGTGAATTTTTGTGATTAATATGTCTTGAACGTTGTTGGTTAAGTTTCCGATATGATGGTGTAAGTAAATGGAAACAAACCAAGTGTGTGTAAATATGTTTATGTGGTAAGAGCTGTGTAACAAATGATGAAAAGAAGTTGTAATTAATGTAATTGAAACAACTGTGGTAATATCATGTGTGGCTTGTCATGGGAAATTATCGTTGTGACTTGAATTGTATCCGGGCTGTTGTACTTGATGGAAATAGTATTGATATCTATGAAAATCTTTGTGAATTTTTGTTGTGTGAAATGTGATTGTCCGGTGGAATCGGGTTGCGCGCCGCAACACGAAGTTATAAGGTGTGAGTTGTGGTGATAAGGGTGCCCGAGGTAAAAAGGGTGACCGAGGTAATAAGGGTAAAAAAGTGATTGAATTCACTATTGAAATGAAAATGTGTGAAGGTTGTGAAAATCATTGATGTGATGGAATAATATTGAAAGAGGAAAAGGAGAGATTATGAAACTTATTTGGCTTTGGTTGTTCCTTTCATGTGCATTTGATCGTTGGTTCTATTACTATTTGTTATCTGTGCATTGATTGATTTTACTTGTGGTAAAGTTCATTTATACATTCCAGTACAATTCAATGTGCTGACGTCCCTTTTATCGGGGGCGCTACATTCGTGTTATGATTGTAGGTGGTTCTATAGCAGGTACTCCTGTCCACCGATAATAACAGTCCTTCGCTTCCCGTCAGCTGAATTAGTGAGCCCTTTTCCTCTCGGGGCCCTACGTGACTTATGCTGCTTTTCTTCCGGAGTCTTATTTTGGTATTTGTGTAAGGTATAGCTGGAGCCTTGTTACGTGTAAGTATTGTATTACCCTTTTGTATCCTTAGAGGCTCCGTAGACAGGAAATGTGGGTTGTGAACTCATGTATATATGTATTTTGTATGTTGGGTGATGTAACTTGTAAACCACGCAAAGAAACTTTTTATGTTATGTATATCTCGTAAGAAGGTGTTTAAATTATAAATGGCTATCTCACTTGATTAATTAGTATGAAAATACGGGATAACACGTGGGGTAGGAAAGGCACCCAGGTCTGCTTGACTGGGGCTACCCGGTCGAGTGACGGTCATGTCCCTCGGTTTTTGGGGCGTGACACCTTGGCCCTCAGATCGGGCTTCCCTGCGCGCAATTCCTCCAAGGTTTGCGCCTAGATCCGCATTCAAAGTAATGTGTGAATTAACAACAGCTAGTTCCACATTTGGAACTTCTCCGGGGTTTATCGGTGGTACATCGACCCCTACATTGTTATTTTCTCCATGAAATCCAAGACCATTGTTGTCGTGTACATGTGCGTTTTGCGAGTCTGGCATGTTTCAACCTGAGAACAAACATTCTTGACAATAACAAGTGTAAAAATAAATTGTGTTATGAGAATCAATACTGAAATAATCACTATTATCTTTATCCTCACGGTGGACGCCAAATTGTTTACCTCAAAAATACGAATAACAATTAAATTTGATTTGTGGTTTAAAAGATATATGATTTAGTTCAATACCAATTAATAATCAAGAAGTATAATGGATAAATGAAAGAATGAGTAAACCAAACCAGTGTTACAATGCAGAATCGACCTCGAGCTCAGTGACCTCCGGGTTAAGAACAATAAGGCAAGAACGGTAAAGCTAAACGACAATTCTGATGAACAATGAGCGAGAAAAGTAGGATAGTATATTCTTTGCCAATGATTAAATCATCTTTACAAATGATTGGCATCCCCTTTACATAACGAGGGAACCCTAAATAAGGTACATTTCCATTTACAGTAAGGAATCTTATTGAAACAGCTAGATAACCGCCTAGTACGGATTTGTACTAATTCGTACAAATCTATTCCAAAATTTACGCCATGATCTTAGGGACGTAACGGGAATCTTGCTTATTCTGTTACAAAATCGGATAGTACTGATTTCTACTGTATACCGATATTTTGAGACAATTTTTATTCTTCAAATTCAATAATTCATGTTTACTTTGTATAACTTGTAAACAGGTCACGTAAAGTAAATACATATGATCATTCGAATAAAAAAATTGGTTTAGCAATTTGTCTTTTCTGGTGTACATGTGGGTTCTTCTTTTCTCCCAATCCTTTTTTTCACTTGCAGAAATGTAAAAGTAAAAAGAAAAAAGTAACTCCTATAAACTGATTTGGGTAAAATATTAACACCATTTATTAGGCCATCTAAACTATTATTACACGTAATTTTTCATAATAAGTAAAATTAATAAGGATAAAATACAATTGGGTGGTCGATCGAAACTAATTGTATATTATATGTATGTAATATGCTTGTATACAAAATATATATATATTTTATCGATTATTATTGTTTGAAGCATATTTCTCAATTAATAATTCAGAAAGTTAAGCAATTTACACATTACAAGAATTAATATTTATTGTTAGAGTCTGTTTGGAAAGTCACTTAGGAACTTAATTTTGATATAATTATATAGTTTGACATATTTATGTCTCCAAGTAATTACTTGGAGCATGGAATTGGGTGTAATTGGAGAGTGTAATTACATTCTCCAATTCTCAAGAGGGAAGTGAGAATTGGTAATAATTTCATTGTGTAATTACAATGTTACTTTTTAATTTCTTTCCTTTTTGTTTTTATTTTAATTTATTTTCTTTAACTTTTTATTTCCATTATTTTTATTTTTTTTTAAAAAAAATTAAAATATATTTTTTGTTGTGCATTTTTTGTCTTTTATTTCTCTACCTTTACTTCTTGTGATTCCATGTAATTGTTTGTTTATTTTATTTCTTATTTGTTTTATTTTCTTCATTTTGCATAACTGCATTATTATTCTAGTTTTTATAACAATATTAGTTATAAATATATGATCACTAAGAAGAAAATATGCATCTTAAATACCAAATCTAATATCATTTATACTTATAAAAAATCATTCATAGGCATATTTATTATATTAACTTTAAAATTTGATAACTATTTCATTTAAAATTTAATTTAACTGTGCCACTATACTTGTGCAACCAAACAGTATGCTTTTAATAACACTATAATTATGTTATGACAAACAGGTCATCATAATTACTATATTGTGTAATTATTACCCTAGTAATTACACTAATTTTAATTACCGGATAATTTTCCAAACAGACCCTTAGTATAAAATTATAGTGTAGCAAAGAGAAATGCAGTGGAATAGGAGTTAGTTATATAAGATCCGAAGGGAGCGCGCCAAATTCCGTACGTGTAACTCAATATATTTGACAGTTATTTTCCCTCTTCTACCTCGATTCCTCTCCTCCCATTTTCTCTCATTTTCATACACATTTCAAGCCATCAATCTCCCTCTCTCTCTCTCTCTGTGTACTGCTGATTTGTGTCTCTTAATTTCAAATAATTTCAAGTGTTGAAGTTTCTTAATTAGTTGATTAATGCAAAATGGGAGCAGTTACTGTGATCAAGAACTCGCATTCTCCTTCCTCCAGTTCTTCAAAATCTTGGTAATTTTCTCTTCATCTTTGTTTGTATTTCTGTTTAGTTAAATTAAGTTTTCTTAATGGGAAAATTCAAGATCTACTCTGTAATTTTTTTGCTGTTTAGTTAATTTGTTTCTCTTTTTTGAATAATCCACAGTCGCAATATGATGGAGAAAGGATTGGAATCAAGTTACGTACCAACTAAAGAAATAAACAACATGAAAAATGAAAGAGTTAATAAGTCTTAAGGCTAATACTAGTACTATTAGTACTGCAGCATTAAAGAAGCATTGCCTATGTGCACCCACCACCCACCCTGGTTCATTCAAGTGTCGTCTTCACCGCGCCGCCACCACTACTACATCTCACAAAAGAATCGGTAAATACTTCTGCTATGAAAAAGGGTTATGATAAACAATTCAATATCTTTTTAGTATTCTCAAACGCCTTTTTCTTTTCCAGTTTCATCATCAACTCGTCACGTATATGGCGTCAAATATAGTAAGGACTTGAATATCACAAAGTTAGTAGCGCCATCAAAAGGTGGCGGAGTCAGGAATTTTAACGAGGCGAATGTACATGGCCAACACGGGCTATCAAGATTCGGTAGGGCTGCTCTTGCTGCTGCTGCTACAACTTCTAGTGTACAAGTTCAAACAATTTCAGCAGCATTGAGACAAATGAGTCGAGCCAAAAGAAGAAAATAATAAATTCAAAATTATGATTCTGCTTTTAGAAAAAAAAATACTTGATTACTATAGCTTAGTATTTTTATGTAAATGGAGTAATTTTCCTTTTTGCTCAGGGTGATTTGTAAATAGAAATATAAGAACAGGATTACCTGCAGAAAAACTCAGAAATATTTAATACTCAGAAAAACATCTCAATGTTTTCTCAAGCAAAGCATCCAAATTAGAATCCTTTATGTTAATTTCCTCATATATATAGACACCTACTCACAAGTCAAACCCTTCCAATATTGCTATATATTCCGTTGACTATTGAAGTTTTGATGATTAACAAAGTATGATTAAATATTTAAAGAACCAGACGTTCAATGTAGTTACTAAATTGTTTTGAAGAACTAGCTCATCTGGAGTAAGGATCAGCTCCTCATGTTGATACTTGTACGTCTGTACAAGACAGTAACTTTATCTCAAAATTACCCAAGTTCAAATTTTGCGGAAGAAGGATGCAATAAGTGATAAAGGTCGTTGCTCAGGAAGATAAGGATAATTCAGTTAGAGACAAAAGTACCAAAGCTTGTGAAATCCTTGAAACAATAAAAGTTCTGTCAAAGAGAAAGCTGACTATGAATAGGACTCCTCAAAAATCTCAAGTTGAAGCGTTTAAATGTGATCAACTTTAGACTTCTGAAATATCCATTCACACATCAATTAAAGTGTCATAAATCACATACTTGAGTCGAGTACTTGCATTGTATTCTTGCTGAGTCATTCTAGTGAATGGTGTTTTAGGAAATTGAGTTGTAATCAAGTGTCATAAACAATTAGTGAGTTGGAGTGAGTATCTTGCTTTACAAGTTAGATTAACTTGTGTATCAAATAGGAGAAGTAGGAGGACTTGAGAGTATTTAATTACGGTCTTGTAATTGATACATTTTAGCTCATTGTTCTCGTGGAGTTGCAATAAAAAATCTTACGTAGTAGTTCGTGATTTTTATACTTTTTGAATGGAGTAATTTTCCACATAAAAATCTTTATGTTTATTTTATTACTTATTTACTTTATGTTTAAGGAACACGATAAAGAATCAGGTTCTTTAGTAATCCATACAGATACTTAAACTAACATATTCAAGTGACATTTCCCAATTCTTTGTCGCTACTCTTGTCAAGTTATGCCTACTGGAACTTGTATATTAGTTGAAGGGATATTACAACAGCCATTAATGAAGGGAAAATAATCATGTTGAGCTAAAAACAGAGAAATATTGTAGCAAAATAATTATCCATTGTCTCTTTAAGAGATTGTTCCCACACTTTGGGCCTCGGACAACAACGGTGATAATCTCTTTATGACACTCTAATGACTTTTTTCTTTTGGGTTTAATTTACTTTTATACACTGATCATGTGAAAATTATTAACACTTTCAGTATATATATTATATATCTTGAACCCATTCTTGTTCTCTTGACATTGCAAGATATCACAGCAGTACATTTGTCACATATTCTTTATGCTTTAGGGAAACATTTGTATGTTTCTTTAACTATTTTGATTATGCTACTAATAGTTCTCACATGATATCTTCTAACAAGTCCTTCCGTTTTAAATGGTAGCCAGGAAATTACCAATAAATTGGGGCAGTATTTTCTCGTTACTGCTGGCTGCTATTGCTCAATTTCTGATGTCGAAAGTAAATAACCTTTTTACATTTATTGCAGGGGTAAGGTCTGCTTACTATTTATTCTTTCCACATCCCACTTGTAAGATTATATTGAGTTTGTTGAAGCCAGTTTTTATTACACATCCAAACATTATGTATAAACGATATGCTTTTGATGAGTAATAATAATATTACATAATGTTTAAGACCTTTTGTCTTTTAATTTCGTGTTTTGTGGAGTAAATCTTGAGTTTATTGTCGTGATCCCAATTTTTCACCTTCGGATATCGTGATAGCACCTAGTCTCTAAGACTAGGTAAGCAAAACATTCATTGATAGCTTAATAGAAATTAAAAGAAATTAAGATAATAGGATAAACAGAAATGAGAAGATAACAGAAGGTGACTCCGAGACGTGCCAATGTCGAGCAGGTATACCTTAAAATCTCCAAAAATAGTTGAATGATCACTCGCGTTAGCACGAGCAGTTGTACCCGGATCACTGCACAAAAATATGCAGAAGCATAGCATGAGTATATCACAATTGTACCCAATAAATATCAAGTTTAACCTCGGTAAAGTAATGACGAGACCAGGTCAAGACACTTACTAGGACAAGATGAAATGAACAAAGTATAATATAGACCAATAACAAAAAAAAAGAGAAACTGAATGATAACAAAGCAATATAATAACGTAAACTGACAAAAGAATTTAAGACAAGAAAGGCAACGAGAAGTAAACACATAATGAGAATAATAAATAATCAAATACGGATAAATACAAGTAAGACAATGAAGAAAACAACAAGAACTGTTCAACCAGCAAGCGTTTTTAGCTTAGAAATTATATCACAAGAATCACAACTGAGGTACCACACCTTATAATTCGATTTCACAAATCACAATCTTTTTTTAGATCGCGCGTGAGTCTTACATTTAGATATTTTTAAAAATATTTATCCTGAAATAGCTACACGTGTTTTAGCCCTTCTTAAGTCGCGTGGCTTCAAACAATTACCTTTCTAGAAACAGCCATGTAAATCCTACATTATGTCACCGCATGCACATCAACCCCTAACCTTATACCGTCACATGCACATCAATATCACGACACAATGACAACTCACATCACAAGTATCCCTATGCCACAACTGCCAGAATCAACAATACCAATGTTACCACAACGTATAGCCCACGGCTCAACCACAACGTCAAAAAGAATCTCAACGATAACAAAATTGAATGAGAAATACTCAACAAGAAAAGATATCTCAATAATCAATAATTCCGACCTAAATGTTATAATAGCTTCCACAACTTCAACATCAATAACTCAACAAGAAATATTCCCACTAATTGACAACTTCATGTTAGAGTAATTCAACAATAAAAGAGGTAACAAGACAATAAGAGAGGTAACAACTTCAACTAAAGCATATAAGAACAAATGCTAACAACGTCAAATAAATCATGTAAGAGTAAATTTAACAACGGGAAATATAGTATGTTATCATAAATTCAATAAAATGCATGAAAAAAATCTAAAAAATCTAAATCGGTCAATTACCATATTTAGACTGTGTACACACTCGCCACCTCATGTACACATCTTCCACATAATACAAATAGCACAATCAACACAATCCTAAGGGGTAGTTCTTCCACACAAAATTATGCAAAATACTTACCTCAACTAGGTCATACCAATCCTCAAAGATAGATATTTTCCCTAAAATTCGCCTCCACCACAGCTCAAATCTAACCAAAAATGACTTAATATCATCAAATATTGCAAGAGAAACTAATTATAATAGATAAAACTATGATATTTACACTAATTTCCAAAAGTAAACAAAAATCAACCTCGAGCCTGCCCGGTCAAAACTCAGGTCCAAGAGTAGATTCCGGCTACCCCTAACCCCACGAGTCCATATGTGCATTTTGTTTTCAAATTCGGGTCTAAATCGACTCTCAAATTTCAAATTCTCCTTTTTTTAAAACTTTAACTAAAATCCCCAAAAACTCCTCTTTGATTCTCATAAATATGATATTAAAGTATGATATAATCATGCAATATGGTTGAAAATTGATTAGAATCACTTACCCAATAATTGCAGATAAAAATCCTCTCTCCAAATTGCCTCCTACCGATTTTCAGCTTTTAAAAAGAGAAAAAATATGATAAAATCCCGACTTTCTAATATTTTGTTCGGTTGCAAATATCGCAATTGCGTCACTGGGTTCGCAAGTGAGATCCCTCATAATGCCTCACAATTACAACACTAACAAATTATGCGGGAAGTCACAAATACGACATGGGCTTCGTAATGGCGAAGCCTGCTTCTCTCGCATATGTGACAAATACGTCGCAAATGCGAACCTACCCATCCCAGGTGCAACTTCGCAATTGCGACATCAGAGACACCAGCACACCAATAACCTATTTCAGTTCAAAACCATTCTGAAATACATTCGAAACTCATCTGAGACCTCGAGGCTTAGAACCAAATATCCATACAAGTCTAAAAATATAATATGAACTTTCTCATCCGATCAAAACACAAAAATAATATCTACAACTGCGAATTGGACATCAAAATACATGAATTTTAAAGAAAACTCAAAAACCTCTAGAATTGCAACCAAGCGTCCGAATCCTATTAAATTTATTCCAAATATCACCAAACTACGCAGACAAGTTCCAAATTGTAAAACAGACCTATTTAAGTTCCAAACTAACATTTGAACCCGATGACCCAAAAAGTCAACCTACGGTCAAACTTGAGAAATCTTCTAAACCTCAAATTGCCAACTTTCGACAAAACAAGTCAAATCAACATATGGGTCTCCGAATTCAATTCCGGGAATACATTCAAGTCTCAAATCACAATACGAACCTCTAGGAGACATCAAAATATTGTTCTGGGGTCATTTTTACAAAAGTCAAACTTTGGTCAACGTAATCAACTTAGGCTTCTAAGCCAAGAACCAAAGATTCAAATCAACCCAAAACCTTCCCGAAATGATACTAATAAACCCCGCAAGTCATAAATCACATATGTGTGAACCATCAAAAGGGGATCGGGGCTCAAATACATAGAAAGACCGGTCAACTCGCTACATTCTCCCCCTTTTAAAATAAATATTCATCCTCGAATGAGTATAGAGACATACCGAAGTGCTAAAAAGGTGAGGATAACGGGAATACATATTATGCTCGATCTCCCAAGTCACCTCATCAACTTCTTGACACCTCCATTGAACCTTCACTGAAGCAATGTTCTTTGACCTCAACTTTCGGAATTACCTTTTCAAGATGGCCACCGCCTCCTCAACATAAGACAAATACTTGTCCAACTGGACTGAGCTAAATCTACTACATGGGACGGCTCACGGTAATACTTCCACAGCATGGAAACATGGAACACCGGGTTAACTACCGAAAAG